TAGGTTTTTTGGATTATATTTATAAAAATATTAAAATGAATACATTTCTTAAATGATTTAATTGTTTTAACTTTGTTACACTTTTCACATTATCTATCCTTAAAACATTTTGTTTGTATTTTAATTATTAAGAAAATATTACAACAAAATCAGGATGTTAATTTCAAAACATTGATCTCAGGTATCATTTAGGAATTATTTGTGTAATATAACATACAATTATAACATTCATAAGTTTGAAACTCTATTGCAATTGTAATTTTGTGCAATAGTTTAAAATCATTTAAAAAAACCAGTACCAAGTTTATTGATTGAATGCATCAATTATATTGACGTCTTTTAAGATAATTATTTTGTTATATTTATACCCATCTTCTTAAAGATAAGTAACACACATATTGGTTTACATAACGTTCGTGTTCTGAACAAACGATTTATTTGACATCATACATATCGTACTACATTGCATAGTAAATAGTAAAATCAGTGATTAATAACATATACTATGCTGGTATATAAATTAATTACAAGTTGATTACTTTATATCATTGAAGACTTCATAGATTTATTACCTTAAGTCCCGATCGTTAGAATTCATAAAAATTTCATGGTCTGCAAAGCTTAATTGGGAATCCATTCGAATCATCGAACAATGTATAGGTACTTTGAGACTTGTATTAATTTCATGAAATTTTTATGAATCTGGGAATCAACGAATATAGATGATTGCTAAATCTTTTCTGATACCATTTCTTAGTTAAGTCTAGAAGAGGAAGGGTCGTATGGTGTTTTTGTTGTTTGTTTGGAGTTTATAATGTGTGACATTAAAGGATATGTTGAGGACAACCATTCTAATAAGGGAGTAGTGTAACGATTCAAAATCAATGATGGATATAAAAGATAACATCGCCCAAAAAGGCAAGTTTTAATAATTACCATATGCCATGCAAAAATTGTTTTACATTTCTCAGGTTTGATTTTGTATTTTTTAACAATATATTCTTTCCGTTCTAAATTCGGAAAATTAAAAAGCTGATTTCGAAGTGCGATAATTTGTCATCATCGCATTTCAAGTTACACCGATATATGTGAAACCAATTGCTCCAAATTAAGAAATATATCCTTTCTCGAATGCGTCTTTAGAGTTTTCACCTTTAACGGAAACCTGTCACAAAAAGGCGACATTTCGATCCTTCAAATCGGAGCGCTCAGGGGGCATTAGGAGTAAATTGGCGACCAAATTGTCTTGAAATTCAGTTAGCAAGGTGGATACACGCACTTATTTTCCCCAACCATCTGCTCGTCAACTGAGAGAATTCATTTGCTGATGGCTTACATCTTTCTATATTACTTCACCGTTCACAGACGAGTTAGCACACCCTTCCAACAATGTGCAAAACTGAAGGGGGAATTTTGCGGAAATCGCGATCATAGTTCATTCAAAATCAATTAGTCGTTGATAATTTCATTGAATTTTTACGAAAACACTCGATCAGTCAGGAGTGTTGTCGATAACCTGTCTGCGGGTTACATATCAATTGGTGATCGGTCTTGGTTTTAACTCGAGTTACTTTGTGAAACTAGACGAAATGCTCAGTGGAACAGTTTTAGAATATGCGCCCTTTTTGCTTAAAAACGTCAAAGAAAAACAACAATCAGTCAAACGGATTAAGGGTGGGAAATAGGCGTAACCAGAATGATATTATATCCAGGGGAAGCCACTTTAGATTCTTGATTGTAACACGTTGCGCGCATTTTTCTTGTGTAGCAAACCATGACGGGATCTGAGATCTTCGGAAATATTTAATGGATCTGTCCGGAGAAACGTCAAATAAACTCAATCTTAATCGTGTTATTGATCTTCATATCTATATAATTGTATTTTTATTTGTGTCTCTTTAACGATTACCAACTGCGACAGAAGTCTTATCTGAACGTGGTGACGTTGGACATATATATGCTTTATAGTATGCTTGTCAGAGCAACAATTAAGATTACTATCGGAAATGTTCATATTAGCAGGATAAAAGCAAAGTATAAAAATTAGCAAAAAATCCATGGGATTTATCGAAAAACTATACACCATGCAGGCCTATTACAAAAAATAGTTGAAGTCTAAAAATTAGTCTAGTATGGTTCAATATATGCGTTCTTTCCTGTTGTAATATTTTCATAACATTTAGAAGTCATTTGGTGGCGCTAATTATTCATCCTCACAACGTTGTATATTGTAATGCTTGAAACATTGTGCGCTCTCTCGGGAGCTGAGAAAGGGCTTGAAGTCGAACTAGAAAATTATCGGTTGAACTTGGAAGAGATGAACTAAAAATATTTTTTTGTAAAATATAAATTTGCCGATATCAAATATGGATAAAACTTTATTTTTTAACCTTGAAATTCAGCAATCTGACACTTTTAGAGCACCTTTCTAATGAACGATTTAACGAATCGCGGACGATCTTCAGGTATTCAACAAATCAATGTTTAAAATGTCACAGCCGCGTTCACTGGTTTCAAATATATAACATATAAAATAATATTTTAGATAGCAAATGGTAACACATGCTCTCGTAGAGATAACGTAAGATAATGGAGAAATAAAATATCATTATTGCTATCATAGCATTAACAGTTTATAGGGTTATTACTTCATAGGATCAATTTAAGAACTCCTTAAGCCGCTTTGCATTTTGGTTTAATAACAAGATTTAACCGATCATTAAGTACTTTAGAGATCATCGTTATATGACATGAAATATTATCACAAAGTGTAAAGAGCAACATTTGAAGAGCGTTAAAGCAGTAAATCTCTAATAAACCACTTACTAATGGACCTGTAAGTTCATCTCAATTAGATAATACATTCTATATCCCATTACGAATATACTTGTACCAAAAATGCGGATCTTTTGATTTTTTTCTTGGGAAATTTATGATATTTTGTTTCAAATATACTTCACCAAGATAAAATGTGATTCGATCAGATCACCAAGTCTACCAACATGTCAAACTGTTCATATTTCACCGCTACATTTCATTCATTCGCTTTATTTATGAATGGAATGTTTACTTCTCAAATCAATTTATGTTAAAGAAAATATTTCTATCATCTCTCTATACAAACATATTATAAGACCCTTGTAGTAGACCGGGCAATCCTTATCAATGTTTACCGTAAAGGAAATCATTATCGGAAGAGGTCGGTGTTAATCGTATTTAATCATGACAAATCAATGGGCCAAGTCGAGAGCCCTAATCTATACGAGTCAATGTATTAACTGGTAGACTGTTGTTACTGAATAATTTAGCATCCAAACATGGCAGAAATGGAGTATGTATAATAGTAATAAAGTCCCTAAGGCTTATAGTATGTCGTTAATTTTTAACGAGACTTGACAATGAAATCAGCTGTAGAATAAAGTAATGCGGTCATTGGTTCCCTATCGTCCTCATGTGATATCATCTGTCACACCTCCCCCAACTTACAGTTTAGTTCATCCCCGATTTCAATTATTAATTTATCATTCAATCTCGGTTTATTTTACAACTCATGTCAAAAGTAGTCAGTGTGATTGTTTCTAAAGTACAAAATGTGTAAACTAGTTTATAAATAGTAGTTTTATTTCAACGCCAAAGGGGGTATTTATTGAGATGATGGTACAATAAAACGTTATTAAATTGTATACCCTTATATACAATACCTAAACTAATATTGCTGGTACTTGTTTTCAATGGTAATGCAAGCATATGTTTTATATATTGTTTCCAAAGAATTTGTAAAAACGTGTTGCGTATGCCTGTTTTGTTAAACGAATAAAACACCAATTAATGAAATTGATTTAAGTCGTAATTTGAACATTTATTGAAACAATTGAATCGTGCGATGAAAGTATCAAAAATTGGCGGACTTTTTTGACAGATGTGTACTCTTCATGTAAGGAATTTAATTTAAATGATTCGTGTATATTTAATTGTTTGCGAATGTTGTGACCTTAATATACCTGTATACTTTCACACAGTGTACATTCACCCCCAGCCCTTGTTCAACGTTATGCCAAAACACTTACTTTTATACTTTTCACACAATTTTATAAACACAAAATGTTAATCTTGTATTAAGTGAATGCTAATACATAGCTTGCTGTAAGACATTTTTTAAACTAAAATGTGAAAAAATATTCAAATCGTACAAATCAATGCGTTAAAAATTGCAAAGCGCAAATATAGTAAGAAATCTCGCAGTTTGAATTAAACACATTTATTTTGTAAAAGTTCAGCGGGAGTCTATTGAAAGTCTTGTTTCAAATAGAATTTACCTCGTCAATAAAGACTAGGGCTAATTTACTCTTATTGACAATTACATAAAACAAAAGTGTACAATTTGGTTGCCATGGAGACGACAGAATTAAAGTATGGTGGTAGCTGAGAATTCAGCTGCGAGGTCTAAGCATACATCGTATAAACTTTTCACTAGCGAATAGTAATAATTCACTGTGAGACATTTCCACCTGCCAAGTTGGCATTCTATCTCACCGTAGTGGACGTAATGATCACCATTTCGCTAGGAAAACCCTAAAAATCAATAGCGCAGGGAAATTAATTTGAAAATATATTATTTTTGTAACAATGACTATTTTGTTATCAATAAAGTGATGAGAGGTTGATCTGGTGATAATTCATATATATTCATTAATCCTGACAATCGATCCACTCCTTATTCCAAGCTTCTAAACATAAAAATTTGTTTTCAATGACCAGTCACATTGAGATATATTGTTTGATTATTTTTTTGGAACCAACTTGGTTACAAAACAGCGATTCAGGTTCAAACTTGTGACGATAATACAGAATCATTTATACGCAAAATTACATGAGAAAAAGAGAATCAAAACCATATATATATCTACGGGTCAAATGAAATCTTACTATACTAATGGGTTATCTTACAAGTAAGGGTTAATTATGTTCAATCTGTAAAAATAACTTTTATTCACTTTCAGGGTAACATCTTTGGAGGTCTCGATGACAGCTTTCTCGCCAGGGCGGAAGCCCTGTCTGACATGAACAAAGGGTCCTCTCCTCCCCTTATCAAACCCGATCTTCTATATGGTAACCACGATATGAACACTGCAGCTACCGCTGGAGGGCGCCAAATGCAATTCCACGGTCTCCCACCAGAGGGCTCTATGCTTGATCAAATGTCGGCTGCAGCCTCGATGTCGATTTCCAATATGGCGATGGATCATCCTGGTGTTACGTCACACCCTCACTCACAACACATGTATTCTAGCGTTTATGCACACTCGGGACAAACTATGATGAATGGTCATCATCCGGGCATGCCCCCTCATGGCATGCACGATATCGACTGTGATCCACGTGAACTTGAAGCGTTTGCAGAGCGTTTTAAACAAAGGCGTATCAAACTAGGAGTTACACAAGCCGATGTTGGCAACGCTCTTGGTAATCTTAAACTTCCTGGAGTAGGCTCGCTAAGTCAAAGCACAATTTGCAGATTTGAGTCATTAACATTGAGTCATAACAATATGATTGCCCTGAAGCCTGTGCTAGCGGCTTGGCTGGACGAAGCTGAGCAAAAACATCGCGAAGTGAAGGCCCACGGTGATCAATTTGATGCCAATGATAAAAAGCGAAAACGAACATCTATAGCGGCGCCTGAGAAGCGATCTCTTGAGGCGTATTTCGCCGTGCAACCAAGACCATCTAGTGAAAAAATAGCACAAATTGCCGAGAAATTAGACTTGAAGAAAAATGTCGTGAGAGTGTGGTTTTGTAATCAAAGACAGAAGCAAAAGAGATTGAAGTTTTCAGCGATTAATCAACACTGAGGATAGGGTGCAAAACATGTATCTTCTCTGATTGAAAGCTATTTCCTGTACATAGATACGTTTTCTTATTGTCCATTTATGGGATATATGTGGGTCACTTAAATTAGTCAACTTGTTATATTAAATATCTCAAAACAATGGCGCCTATGTTTGAAATGAGATGATATCAGCAACAAATCAAATGTAGCTTTTATATACATATATAGGAATTCAAATAAATAATTAATTTGACCAGTTTGATTTCAAAACAAATATGGCGCGTCGTTCTAATAAATTATTTGACCTATCACCACTTTCTAAATTAGAGTTAATTTCTCATTCTCTCAATTTCGATTTTTATTAACCCATTACCAAGAAATGATGGATTTTCTTAATTCAATTCATTTTCATATTTGTCATAATTAAACAAGCTCCTCGTATCGCATTACATATGTTAACATTAGATCAATTAATATAATCTGGCACCAGCCAGCGATTTTCTCAACACTCCTTCACGTTCAACAGTCCTCGTGTCCCTCTCAGTCAGTTATACTATCAGATAACATTGTTCTGAAGCGTCAGAGGGTTTGTTAGGAGAGCTTGAGATTTGTTTCAATACTCGAAATACTCTCTTGAAACAATAATAGAAGTGAATTGAGAAATTAGACCTAATTTTTAAAGCGGTAACCTGGGACTGCTTTACAGGCGAACTTAGATTTTGCAAGATATTAGTATCTACGAGTAAAAGATATGTTAGACCAAGTATTGAAACCGAGCACGATGTTATTACGAGCCTCACGATTTTCATTGCTCCTCAATAGATTGTTAAAATAATCCTACCTTTAATAGTGCGCATTATAACACACACTTTTAAATAATGACTCCATCAATGGGGCTCTTTAAATATATCACAAAATACAGTAATTATTTACAAAGTAAGGCCAGTAAAAATAGTGTTTCTATCCACTGAGGTTTCGAATTTTAGATTATCCAGCTTGATCTATTTTTTTGTAAATGTTTCTTGTGTTTGAAAATGTTAGGAAAGGGTTTTAGATGATTTTTGAATGTGTTAATATAATAGAATGGACTACTCGATCTTGAAATGTACATTAATTTTGCTTCAATATGCCTATAAATAAGCGTTTCGGCAACTGCAAAGATCTCGGCAAAAATGAATACTAAACAAGGCCAGTTAGGAAGAGTTCATGTAAATATGGAGTATCGTCATTCGCCATGGACATATTGGATTCTCAGTTTTACACTTCCCTTGAAAGGTTTGGCAACCTTGACACCCCTTTGGATTTTTAAAGGCTTAAAAGGATTTTGGTGTTGCCAGACTTTTGAAGGGGAGTGTAATGTAGGCGTAACTACACTATATGATTGTATTTATACATACTTATAACACCGCCACCAATCAAACATATCACCTTTATTGCATATTGTAAATATTTTATTTTTATTATATACTTTAGAGTTCACTCATTATTTTATATCGCTATGGTGACGCCTGGAATAGTATACCGATCTGGTATCAATGTTAAGTTATATAACAGTGTAATAATGTACTTTAAGTTTCTAGTGTTTGTTCAACTATTATATAGTTTAATAAACAATCGCCTGAAATTGTCTTTTACTTTGTTTGACATTCATTTACTTTGCTTATAATGTGCAATATTGATTTATTAATGTATTTTAGGGCAGCTTTCTTGTGAATACGCATAATTTTGTACAGAACCATTGAAACATTATAGCTAAGTGTATTTATGTATGCTTTTAGGGAGCGAGAGACGAGAAGTTTATTTTGTATATTTTGTTATTTATTTGGATACTATGAATGTATAATTAGTCAGTGTAAATAATGTATTTGGACAGGTAAAAATGTTTGAAAAATAAAGCGTCACTTTTTGACACTTATTATCCTACTATTGATTGCTAAACACACATTTTAGTTGAGTATTGTACAAACTTTTTCCGAGCGTACATGGAAGAAAAAATATACTTTGACAGAGCCTATAGCTAATGCTATTATCTATCCAAGTTAAATACAATGCAATTGTAAAACATATTATGAATAAAATCTGAAAATACTTTTATACAATTGCATCGGGTTACTTTGATGTATAAACGAGTCATACACTGATAGGTTGAAGCATTGTAACATGCAAACTAAAGTGCAATCGTAGATGCAGCTTTATTATCGCCCCATTGTTTCATTACATATTTGTTGGAACGTCATCAACATAAAACGATGAGAAAGCACACATCATATTTTTGATTGAAACAAAAAATAAACCAATGCAATACGAGTTCACTTCCAGAGGGAGAGGAATTTTCTGCAATATCAACTTTTATAAAAATGTTTCTTATTTTGGACACTTTTTTTATTCAAATCCATCCTTGTCAAGATAATATTTTTAAAAAATCCAAAGAGTATTTCTGATGTTTAAAATAAACATTTTTGTTTCTAAAATTTAAAGAGTTAATTTTATACTTGGGAGACAGTATTGTTTTACCTTAAAATCAAATGATTGTCCTGATATAAAGTCACACCATTGAACTTTTAAAAGAAGGCACGACATGTAGAATCGGAGCAAAGCAAATTAAGTCTTCATCTTAGGTATTTAAGCCAATCTAAGAAAATGTGTTCTCTGGAGTTAGGGCGCCTGTTGTTGCCATTTGCACTCGTATAGGACATTAAAACATCGTATAAAATGAAGACAGCTTTTAGAATGTATTCTCTAGATATCACTAAGTCTATTACTATTCGCCTGGTCGGATCAGACTGATGGCTTTTAAATTTGCTAGGCAATATTTTCATTAGGCTTAAACAATATCAAGCCTCCTAATCCAGCAAATTAACCACTTCGTGAATCATGTGACATGTGATACAATGACACAGTGTCATATTAAAATGTGTCTGAATTTCAACGACATTGACAAAAGGTATGCACGTTTTTTATTTCTTAAAGTACAACTTTTGTGTATTCCATTGTATGCTTACATAAACACATGTCACATTACGTGAACTATCAGGCACTGGTCTGAGACAGCCGGCGCGCTAAATAACTAGATTTATTATATCCCTGTCATATTCCCCACTCTCTCATTGATCTACACATTACACGCGACATAAAAAGACGTATTTAACGGCCATGCCCGTGAAGTTAGAAAAAAGGGCGTATTCAACCCGGGGTATTCAACGGGCGTATTCACCATGTGTGTCGTTTCGTCCAGTGTAAGTCTGAAAGTGATACGAAAAAATTTAACCATTCTTATTCTTATAATAAAATAAATATTTCATACTATTTTCGGTGAATACCTGTTGCACTTTCAATAATTCTGCAATGCGTATTCCCTTGGCCCTCGGGCTTCGGGAATACATCTTGCTAGATTCGTTGAAAGATGAACAGGAACCTTAATAATATGAAATATTTGTGAAGTATTCATTGCTCCCGGGAATTTTCAACAAGTCTATCTCTAGTACTAAAGGACATTTCGTCGGGCGGTGAATACCGGTAGATATTCCAAACTCCCAAAAATTTATATCTAGATTAAATCTGACGATGATATAATAAAACAAATATTTCACTTTTATTTTTGAGAAAATTTTTTTGCAAAATTTCGATAAATACATTTTACCATCACACTTACTCCAGTTCACAATGATGAACTATTATACAAATATTTCATTCTGTTGAGGGGAATACGTGTGGATCGTTAACATTAGTGATATCCCTTGAAGTTCGATAGGCTAGGGGGAACATTTAACTTGTGAAATTGACACAAGTATTCACCGAACCGAAAATTGAATAGAATATTTGTTTAATTAAACACTGTTATATTCGTAGCATTCCGTCTTCAATATTTATCTTTTTATTCATTGACCTGTTTTAAACAGATTTTAAAAATGAATTACTGTACTCCGGGTATTGTTCGCATGCGATTTAATTTCGCTTTGTTCGCGAATGTAGTAAAATCGCGAAAATTTATCGTCGCGAAATTTGTGTTTTAAATCCCCGGAGATTTGACCCGGGACTGTCGATATGTTTCGTTCGGTGTAAAACGTTTCGTCCAGTGTTGTTGGGCGATTATTCAAAAAAGGCCTAAAATGTCTAACACTTTGAATTGGCTTATTAGGCCAACAAAGGCAAGAACTGTTGACGACAATGATATCCTACAACTTTAAGTTGAAAAAGCTATTCAAAAATATTCAAATAAATGCCCTAAACGTGGGAAAT